GGACTGAATCCTCTCTCCTCTATAATAAACTGTATATTTTTTTCCAAAACTCTGCTGTTGTTTTGTGATTCTTGATAAAGTCTTTTTTTTTTTTTTCCTAATGGAATAAACTGGTACAAACTGTTTTGGGGAAGGGTGGGCAAGTAGGCAGATGTCCAAGAAGAATGGGGTGAGAAGGAAAGTGTTTAAAAGCTGTACCTTAATATGCTAAGACCCTTTTTTTTGTTTGTTTGTTTGTTTTTAGGATAAGGAAGCCTGCGTGGGTACCAACAATCAAAGCTACATCTGTGACACAGGACACTGCTGTGGACAGTCTCAGTGCTGTAACTACTACTATGAACTCTGGTGTAAGTCCTTATCCAGGGGTTTCTTGGTGTTCCAGGGTCCCAGTTATTACTTCTGCTCCATAGGAAGCCAGGGCCTGCTTATCCCTTCTCTGATTATCTCGGAGATAATTTTGGTGAACAGAAGGGCTTGCTTATAGAGGGGGAAAATTCTGGTACTTTTTGGACACCATGGGCGGAAGATGTCAGAATATGGTCTGAACCAGGTCTGGGGCAAAAGCTCCTGTCTGGGGTTCTCCTTGACATCCTCTCCATTTTGTGCTGAGTAGCTGACAGCAACCTAGATCCTACCTTGGGCCAGGCTCACTGTCTTTGCAAAGAGAGGCTGTAAGCCAAGCTACTGTGAATGTCAGGGTGAGCTCTAGATGCCCATAATGCCAGGGGCTTCTAAAATTCCCCATGGAGCCTCACAGAGCTAGCTGCCTGTTTCAGAGGGTCCGTCTTATAGGAAGAATTTTTCCCTGGGTTCCTGCCTGTAGACCTCTCCAGGAGAAAGGAGGTCTTGAGATTCAACTCCTTTTGTTTTTCCCCATTTCTCAAGTTGAAGCATCTGGGGGCTTCCCCAGTGTGTCTAATCTGTCCTTGTCAGCTAAATGCCATGTGGAGATAATCCCTGTCTTACCACTGGTTTGGTTGAGGCCAGGACCACTTGAATCTTCCAGGGTTGCACAACAGTGGTGATATAGTTATGGTCTTTAGGGAGTGACCAGGGTTGCTTCAACTAACACTGTACTCTGACCCTACTGGAACTCAGATGAGACAGTGTAGGAGGCTGGACAAAGAATGAGAGGTTGGGGACGTGCTTGGGGCAGAGAGACCCCAGGTGACTGACATTGCAGTGGTTCTTACAATAGTCTCTTGAGAGATTATTTCCTCAGATAATTCTTAGCCCTTATCATTGCCTCCATTTGGAAACAGACTTTGGGCTTGTTTGTGAAACCAAGCTCTGACTATCACAGTCGTTCCTTTCCCCCTTCTCCTCTCCCCATTCCTCCTATATCAGTGATGTGCTAAGAAAGCAGCCTGAGGGCTATTGTTTGGACCAGAAAGGAAATTAAGCTCTTTGCTGGGAAGTGTCTCCTGAAATGCAGTTAGTTGTGTCTTGTACCAGCAGGACCGGTTCTTCTAAATAGGACCTCTGTCTCGCCCCTCCTTTTTCCTTTAAAAACCAAGGCCTGGCTCATCTCCATTTCCAAGGAATTCCATGGGCAGTCCATCACAGGAGGGGACAAGCTCAAAATGTCCCCACCAGACCTCGGTATCTGTAAGCAGTGAAGGAAGACACAGAGTCATTGTTGCTATTTTAGAAGGGGTGGGGCTGAGAAACTTACTGAAGGACTCAAAGTGCCAAGCAGGTGGAGGCCTATGTTTAAATGTTTTAAAATGCAGATAACCACAGGGTTCAAATTCTCCTTCCCACCCACAGAGCTATAGTTTGTTTTTCTGGGGCCTGGCCCAGGCAGCATCAGTTGCAAAAAGGAACAGAGTTGCTGATGGCCCCATCTCAGATTGACAGAGCCTCCGGAACCTTTGGCAGAACAGACTCAGTAGCACCAAAATTGGGTCACCAAAAGCAGGTGTGGGAGGCAGGGTGGTGGCAGACAGGGAGACCAAGATGGCAGGGCGGTAGTCTAGGAACCAGGTGCTTCAAGAAAATCAGAGGAAGAGCTGCACGATTGGCTAATTCTCTGTTGTATTATGGTCAGTTGGAGAAAAGAGGCCAGAGACTAATGTCAAGATGGAGAAAAGACCCCTTATTATACAAGTCAGCACATGCTTTCCAAGTTCTGGAGGGATAGGGATTATAGAATCAACATGTCCTTTCTGTCTGTGCCTAGAAGTGACTTCTTGATCAGAAGATGCCCAGTGTGTATCTCAGGACTTCCTTTGGTTTTCCTCCTTATTAGGGTCATGACTTCTGCCTGAAATATAAGAGGGAGGTTGAGGCTCGGTGCCTGTAGCTTAGTGGTTAGGGTGCCAGCTACATAGAGTGGAGCTGGCGGGTTGTTTAGCCCAGGCCTACTAAACAACAATGATAACTACAACAAAAAAATAGCTGGGCATTGTGGTGGGTGCCTCCTGTAGTCCCAGCTACTTGGGAGGCTGAGGCAAGAGAATCGCTTAAGCCCAAGAGTTTGAAGTTGATGTGAGCTGTGACGCCACAGCACTCTGAGGGCGACGTAGTGAGACTCTGTCTTAAAAAATTTAACCGGGCGTGGTGGCAGGTGCCTGTAGTCCCAGCTACTCAGAAGGCTGAGGCAGCAGTGTGAGGTTGCAGTGAGATACCGCAGCACTCTAACTTGGGCAACAGAATAAGATACTGTCTCAAACAGACAAACAAAAGTCCACCTCTATCCTTGTCCATCAGTGCTGTGAATAGAATTTGGCAAACTGCTAGATAGTTTACTCAGCAATGCCCTTTATGTGGCTGTCCCAACAAGGGAGCCAATCAAGATTCTTAGATCATTCAGTAAGCAAAAATGATCTAGCAAATTGAAATTGGACTGGGTCACCTGAGCAGGTTGCCTTCCTTCTGAAAAGTAAAGAATTTTAGTAGCAGATTTTTTGGGGGGGCCCTTTTATAAATCACACTGTGAGTTAACCTTGAAGATCATCTGTTTTGAAGGGAGAATGGAAGGACTGACCAGGTGCTAATCCTCGAATAAGTACTGCATTAGGGATCCCAGGAAGTTTTATTTAAAACTAGTCTTAATTACAGGAGAATCTTCACTTCCTTACAGGCTGAGTTTAGTACTGGAAAGTGAAGTGTTTCTGCTTGGACATAAAGAAAGTGAGGCAACCCTTTCTGTCCTGTCCAAGGAGAACTTGGCTTTGAGGACTGAATCCTCTCTCCTCTATAATAAACTGTATATTTTTTTCCAAAACTCTGCTGTTGTTTTGTGATTCTTGATAAAGTCTTTTTTTTTTTTTT